GTGTGTGCTGCTGACAGCCCCAACCTGCAACCACTAGCCTGGCCCCTACCCCTGGGCTCTGCTCTGTAAGAGCAAAGGCTCAAGCCCGGTCCAAATTCACTACCAAATGAACAGAATGATTTAAAGCGGGTATACTTTATTGATTTGTGGATATTTACTTTTTATATTTTGACATGTGAGTTTAAAAAGCTTTTAACAGTATACTATCATTACTAAATTGTCTGCCCCTGAACTCCTAATGCTGTGCAATCCTGAAAATTTAAATTGATAAAAATTTAAATAAATGCTTATAAATAAGCATTGATTTTAGCCACCATAGTTGAAAAAAAATAATTCAGCCACCCCTAATTATATAGACAGTAGGACTGAGCATTCCTATGAAGTTAAGTGGTATATTTATGTAACTGACTGGCAAATTATGTACTTATCCAGGGGTAGATCCAGGGGGGATGCAGTGGCACAGTTGAACCTTGGCTTCCACAGTGAAGGCCACGTGCCATGGTGCCAGCAGTTCCATTTCCCCAGGCTGGGGTCCCCTGTGGTATCCAAGGCACAGCTGGAGCTTGGGCTGAAGTGGGGATCAAGCAGGAATCAGGTGAGGAAAGGGACATGCAGCTGCTGCTACTGCTGAGCCCAGCCGACTCTGCTTCTACTCAACTCCAGCTGGGGGCTGCAGGGAGCTACTACATGGGGTGCTGGGTCAGTGGCAGAGGCAGAGTCAAGCCCCTGCTCCTTTCCCATCCACTGCATTTCTCCCACTGGCCTGAAGCTCTAGCTGTAGGGAATAGCTATATAGAGAGTGTCAGGCAGAGCTGGGGACAGCTGTCAGTGGGTGATCCCCACTTCCAACCCCTGACCCAGGACAGTGGGGGACACCCAGGGAGTGGGCAGTGAGCAGGAGGACCTGAAAGGGAGGGTGGGAATTGCCCACTGATGCAGCTTTCCCTGGCCTTCCCTAGCTCTCTGCACAGCTGTTCCCTGCAGCTGGAGGTCCCAGGCCAGAGGAGGAAACACAGTGGAGGGTTGGGGAGCAAGGACCATGCACCATGTGCAGCCACTCCCCACAGCCCCCAGCTGGAGCTGAGAAAGAGGTTCTGAGGTTTCCTCCATCCCGCCAGACAGATGGAGACAGCAGCAACAGCAGGCTTCCAGATGCTTTTGCTCTCTGACCACCCCCCAGGTCCCCCTGTGGTCCAGAAACAGGTGCTGGAAAAGAAGATCCATCCGCCACTGCCCCCAGCCATACCCAGCACCCTGCACTTCTGATTCTGGAAGCCCTCAGCTGGAGGAGGGCAGGAGCAGCCATGGGACTTGGCCATACCCAGGTCAGCTGGAGACAGCAGCAGCAGGTGGGTCTCCTGTTTTTGCACCCAGAGGAAACCCCTGATGGTGAGTGTGAGAGGAGGAACAAGGAGGGGAGGGGCAGGTGTGCCAAAAACTGCCATGGTCCAGTCTGCCTGTGGAGGGCAGGGGAGAGGCAGGGACTGCAACCCCCTTGCAGCACCAAGGGAATATTCTTGCTCTCCCCTTTCCAAATTCCTAGCTCCACCCATGTACTTAGCCAATAAGCATGTAAGTGGAGTACACTGGATTTTCTCTAGTGAAGGCTGCCATGAAAACTAAAAAGCGCCACTGCATCAAATTAAGAACATTATTGTGATATTTAGAGCTGGTGCAAAATATTCAGAACAATATCTATTTACAGCAAAATTCTATCTGTTTTTTTCATGCAAGCAATCCCCTGAGCTTATTTACATGAACCAAGTGAAAAGGATTAATTGCCATATTTACTTGAATAGAAGGCAACCCTCATTATAAGATGACCTCCCCCCCGAATAATTAGATTCTATATATGCAAAATTTATAGATTTGTTACAATTTTCCAGGCAGATAATCTATTTATTGAAAGTTTGCTTTGAAATTTTTTCCCTCCCACTGCTACAGCAGGGAAAATAAATCATGGGGGAAAAAATGGGGATCAGGTAGCACTTTGCGCTCAATCATCAAGTCTGTGTGGCTCTACCACTGGGCAAGTGTCCTCCTTCACAGACCCATCAGTCTGGGGCTTCAGATACTCCTGAAATCCAGGCAAGCATCCTACGTGCAAGCTCCGGGCCTGGAGACTTCAGGGTTCAGATGCCCTGAGTATTGCTTAATCTGAGCCAAAAGGCCAAGAAGTCTTGGAACTGAGTAAATATAGTATTTCTGTGGTAGTAGTAAAACAAGGCCCCATATGAGATCTGGAGCATTGTATATGTATTAAGTGAAGTGGTCTCTTCTCTAAAGACCTGAAAAGCTAAACAGACAAGGGAGAGGGCAAAAGGCAGGATTACAGAGCCCTGCCTAAAATCACAAGCCAGGAACAGAACTCGTCACTTTTAGTTTAGTACTCTACCCACTGTTTCATAAATCTGGCTCATTGCATGAAAATATATCTATTCCTTGCCAGTCTGCCGTCTTTATCCGTGAGTAGCTCCCTATTCCCTGAATAAACCTGCTTAAATAAATGCAGGAAGACCCAACAGTTTGGCATTATCAGGCTCTTCTACCAACAATTGTTGCAAGGGGACACAAAAAATGGATTATACATACTTACCCATTCCCCACCCCTTCACACCCACCTGCTTTGGCAGGGGAGAAAGCTTTAGTATCGCAATGCCCTCTTATTCCTGGAGGCTCAAACCCCAGTCTGGGTGGTCCATGCTACATATAACTCTCTTGAGTGAGTACAGTCCAAATATAATCCAGCCTTCACTCTCTAAACAGGACTCAGTGCTGCCCTTCTATATTCAGATAACACAGTTTCTCACAGAAATTGATCGCAGCAGCAGACACAGTTCAGACTTTCAGCAGCCTGATTGCCCAGCAGGGAATAGCTCCACTGTGGTTTACAGAACTATCCTGCTGCAATGTGGTGTAAGCAAGAGAAGAACCAGGGCCATTAATTGCTAACCCATTCAGTGTGATTTACTGATGCTCTAAATACTTAGAAGGAAAGGCTTTTCCTGACAGACTTGTCTGCTGGTTTTCCAGCAGTCTGGTTGTGTATTATTGTTTCTATTCACTTTAGAAATCATTCCAAATACTGAAAACAGAAGATTTCCAAACTCATTAAGTACACAATAAATACATTTTATGAAAGCATTTCTGCTCTCGGTAATGCTGGTTTTACATTGGTGAAACTCCACTGATTTTGTGCCTTCATCGATTTAAGGGTCAGAAGGGACCATTCTGACCATTTAGTCCACCCTCCTTACTCTGTTCCTTCCACTGAGCCCATAACTTGTGGCTCAACTAAAGTAGATCTTTCAGAAAGACTTTCAACGGAGTTTCTTCTGATGAATGATCATGTGAGACTGAAGGCTCCTGTAACTAAAAGTCAGTGCAAGAAAAAGCCATTGTTATTAATTTCTGTGCATGTTCCTTTTGTTCTTAACCAAGGGGAATTTTTTTTTCCAATTTGTGGGGTTGTTAGGAGTCACTCTATGCTCTGTACAGATAACCCATGGAATTTTGCAACTGGGACCGCATTTTTAAAAGACTGCAGGACACTGCTGTCTGTTGAGGGCAGAGATTTTTTGAAAATCTGGCTCCAACTGCGAGTATGGAGCCCTTACAAAAACCTAACCCTGAACTCTTTTGACACCTGGCCTTGGAATTCAACTTGTAGCATGGGGCACCCCTCACAGGTGACTGTGTGGGACGCTAAACTGGATTAAAAATCTATTTGCAAAACCGACTTGCTTTCCGACTTCTGTGCTGCACCTGAAAACCTTTCCTTCTGAAAGCAAATGCAGGCTTTCCCTAGGGGCTGCCTGGGGAAGTCTTTCCACTATAAACATTACCTACCACTGGTAGAGTCGGTTACAGGCAGGAATTCATTCTCCCAGTAAAGAGTCCATTCCAATCAAACCAAACATTATTTTTTTCCATTAATGAGTGTTGACGCCTACTGGAAAACTCTGCATGGAAATGTATTCAGAAACAAACTTTCAGATACGATGTTTCTTTCTGGGGGTTTCTTCTTTCTTTCCAGTACCGCAAACATCACCTTTGTAACTTGGGAATTCGTTGGCTCCTGCTATCGATTCTTCAGTGGAAGTCACAGGGCCAAATCCAGTTCTCATGTGGCTCTGGAAGCTAATGGGGTTATTCCAGATTTACACCAGCAGCAACAGGCCCCTCCTCCTCTGGCTGATGTCTCACCTCGGTGCCACCAGTTTTAAGCTGCCAAGCACCGAGATGGCAAGGGAACGAAATGGAGGGGCAGTGCCCCACTCCCTGCCAGCTTTCCTGTTGCCCTGGAAATGCCAGTAGCATCAAAAACCAGGGAGGAAGAGGGAGCTGATGCCAGCTGGGCAAGGCACTAAACCAGGGCTGCATTTGCCAGCCAGGATTCATCACTGGCATCAGCTACCATGTGTGTGTGTGTGTCACTGCATCCCTTGTCCTGTCCAGTGTGTGTGTGCGCGTGTGAAACTACATCCCATGCCACACGTGTCATTGTATCCCCTGCCCTGCCCAGTGTGTATGCATGGGTGTGAGCCTACATCCCATGCTGCACGTGTATGAGTGTGTGTCATTGCATCCCTTGCCCTGCCCTGCCCTGCCCTGCCCTGCCCAGTGTGTGTGTGTCACTGGCACTGCATCCCCTGCCCTGCCCTGCCCTGCGGAGCGGAGCGGCAGGCTGCCCGCCGCACCTGGTGGCCCGTCTACCCCCGCCCAGCCCTGCTCGCCCGGCGGAGGCGGCTGCAGCGCCCGGCCCGGGACAAGCTGCTCCCGCCTCCCTTCAGCAGGGCCCGGGCAGGGCGCCCCCG